AGTAAAGTACTAGAAGTAATGGGTGGATCCTATTTGTTTATATTGAGATATTGTTATTTTATTAAATGTAAAGGCTTACTGGGATGTAATCAGTGATTTTAAAGCAGCACATTCTTGTAAAACAGACAGCCTAATATCCCAACACAGTCTCACGGCATTTGGTGTTAGTCACAAAATTAATCTATTGATTCGTGTCAGAGCGATTTTAAAAGCAATGTAAATAATAACAAATTAGAAGGAAAAACATATTTAAAAAAAATACAGATTTCAGTAGTCTGACACAGAATGATTTTAGAAGCAATGGATTTCTATTGGTAATATGCTTCGTGCCTGCACCAAATAACAACAAATTAGAAGGAAAAAATGACAAAAATACAGATTTCAGTATTATGAGGCTCTGAGCCCAATTTCTTTTCCTCGCGGACAGCAAAAAAACTCAGACATTATATAATTTAAAATAAAAGGCTTAGGGTTAAGCTTAGGGTAAGATATTGAGTAAGAAAATGTTTTTATGAACCACACAGCTTCCGTTCTTCCAAGACCCGACCGGACAAAAAGAAGCGGTGCAGGCACGAAACACTACCAATAGAAATACATTGCTTTTAAAATCGTTCTGTGACACGAAAAAAATGCGAAAATCGTGTTGGTGAACACAAATCAATAGATTAAATTATCTTTGTGACTATGACACAAAATGCCGTGAGACTGGGCTTCCCAGAATCCTTTACTTCAGTATTTGAAAAATATATTTTAGTGTCAAATTATGGGTGAATGAAAAGGGAGAAATTATGATTTCTGTGGGGTTTTTTTTTGGACCAAAACATAAATTTTCTAGGAATCGTTAAATCTGATGGTTTTTAAATGTAAGGACCGAAGACTGTGATGGTTTGTTTGTTAGCATATGAGTGAAATGATGTCCCTCAGCAGCAAGGTGCTCATAATAAGTTATCATGGGGGAAACTTTAGAGGAAACGCTAGCCAAACTTACCTAATACAACGTCTTGCATCTGGAAATACATCAACCTAACTTGAAAAATAAATGGATGTGAGAAAGACTAAACCTGCTGATTGGACTCAGGCTGATGTTTTCTCCAAAAAAATAAATATATGAACTTTAGTTTGACATATCAGATCTATAATTTGCTGCATATGTTTATGACATTGGTATTACAAAATATAGTCAGTTTCATGGCACAAGTGCTTTAGGATTTTTATATGGGTGTAGTTTTGCGGAAAAGAGGGGTTTGTTCACTTAATATTGCCGTGTTTTGTTGTGTGATTTCTCCGTGTGTTGTGTTTGTTCTTGGCTCTACAAAAGCACATTTTTTCCTAAAATCCTCTGCTTTTTCGTCACAAATATGACTATCCTAAGGAAGCTTTTCTGGACACATGCAATCATTATTAACAGTTCACTTCATTGTGCGGTTCCTGAGGGTGTTGGAGACATAAACTTCTACCAACAAGTCCGATGCATTAACTGTTGCATGTTCACAGCAGCAGCAGCTCTGCACACTGTCCTTCGCTCTACGATCCTCAGAGACAAGATGAGAAACGTCCAAAGCCTCCAGGCGTGGAAGTGCCTCAGTGAATTCCCCTGGTTTGGTGCCTGGGGTTTGGAAATCGCAAACACATCCACACACTGTGATTTATGACCCAGACAAGTTAGTAGTGAGAGACCCAGATCCACAGTGACTCCTTCCCTTTCCCCATCCCCCGAGGAAAGAAAGCAGGCGGCCATATTCATTTGTTTTTCTATTTCTCTCCTTCCTTTCTCCTCTTTTCTAAAGAGCCCCCAGCCTCTGGCTCTCGCACCGTCCCCCTCTGCCTCTCTCTGCTGGGGATGGAGGCTGATGGGAGCTGACATGATGGTGGCATTGTCCTCGCCATCGAGTTAATGTGACCCCCGGGGAGCTGTGTGCTCGGCCAGATGCTGGTGAATGCAAAGCGCTTCCTCGTGGAAAAAAAAAGAGGGTGGTGGGAGAGAAAACGAGGAGAAGTCTGCTGGGCATGGAGGTAGAGTGAGAGATGCAAACTAGTAGAGGTGTTTTTACAAGAGGGAACGCAGCAAAGGATGCACAGAAAGGCATCTAAAGGGATCGAAAATGACCTGAAGTGTGTTACCTTGAGATGATTCATGATTATACTGAAGCTAAATGGGATGTGATGTACATTTCACTGAGAAATAGAGTCTTGTTGAGAATATCTTTCTGTTAAAATGCCTCAAATTTAGACTTTGCCTGAACCCATTATATACCCTTACATATGTTACACATCAATTTATGCTTCAAATCAGTTGGTTTTTATTGCCCCATTTCACACGATGCCCATAATAGACCAAGAGCAACACATTTTCTAACATTTGAGAGATTTCTTGGCTCCATATCAGACTTCAAACTCGATTTACTGAGATGTTGAATGACTCACAGACTTCTCAACCAAGCCTGAAAATTTTTTTTTTATGTTTTTGACAATAATCAATTGATAGAAAGATTATTATTCCATTGATTAACTATGTGGACTTTCTGCTGTTATTATTGGCTGTAATATACAGTTGTCGAATGTAACATGCAGTGCTGACTTACGGCCCGTCCACACGGCGGCGTGCGTTGAAGCTTCAACGCTTCTGCCCATTCACTTTGATTGGGATGACGTCACGCTTTGCCGAACTGCATTGTGGGCTTCGCTTTTCTCGCTTCAAAAGTTGAGCAATGTTCAACTTTTGAAGCTTGGGCGGAAGCGTTAGCCAATCAAATCATATGCCAGTACAAGCTCTAGCCAATCAAACGCGTGCTTGTGTGTCCGGGGCGGGAGATTCATGTGATTGGTTGTTGGTCGAGTTTCAGACAAGTTCACCGGCAAGCTTCAACGCACGCCGCCGTGTGGACGCTGCGTTAGTTATTAGGGGAACAATCCAGCAGTTTTGGAAAATGTTTATTAGCTTTCTTGCAGAAGGTTAGATGAAAATGCAAGAACATTATTGTTACTGTACGTTAAATATGTAGCTACGCCAGTTAGCTTAGCTCTAGCATAAAGACTAGAAACAGGGGGGAACATCTCATCTATTTCAATCTCAACAAGTAACTAAATCTACTTGAAATCTCCTCAAATAACCCTCTACCTTTTGTTGACTATGTCAAATCCAAAGACAAGACTCCAGGAAGTTAATGCGCTTGTACTTATGTTGTAACCAATGCTAGGCTAAGCTAACCGCTAACAGGAGCTTCATATTTGGCGCATAGATATTGATGTTTTTATCTAGCTCTTGGCAAGAAAGTCCAAAATGTTAAATGGGTTTGTTTTATCAATGTTGTTGCAGTTTCTACAGATGTCCGATAAAGTAATGTTTTTCTACATTTAAATGAATAATTCCTGAGTCTAACGCCTGTAGGGAAACCACAGAAACCACATTTTACATTTAAATATCTTCACATAAGCGCTAAATTGTATTGCCTCTGACTGCAGTTTTTGTCAGTGCCAAGGTCATTGTGTAAGGATGTTTATTTAAATCCCTGACCAGGAGCCTGATGACCTACTGAATACTTAAACTCAACTGGAGCTTCCTGGCTAACACAAACTCACGTTTCATCCGGACAAATCGGACAAATTCTAGTTTGCTCACTGCTCTAAAAGCTGCACTTAATATAATCAATGTACACGACCCTTCAGAGTCTAATTCTGTAAAGAGACGTCGTTCGCTCTTTGTTTCGCTCCTAAATCTCCCTGTTTCCACTTATCAAAACAACTATTTTCATCACGTAAATCTGAACGAATCTCGCTGTTTTTCACCCCTCACCTGTCAGACCAACTCTCCCAAACTCTGGTTTACACCAAAGCTTTTTGTTGGTCTGTTTTAACATCACAACAAGCTGCTCCCCGACACTTAAACGGTCACCTCGGTGGTGCTGTAGCTCTTCTGCCTCTGGTGGTGGTGGTGGTTATACGAAGGTTGAGGTTGAGGTTGGTGTTGAACGTGCGCCTGTCCCGCCGCATACATGCCTCCATAGGGCTGGCTGAAGAGATCCGGCATGTTCTCTATGCTCTGCTGCCTCCGCGTAGAATAGCCATGTCTACGTGAGGAAATGTGGTTGGGTGGGGCGTAACCTCGAGCCGAAGCCTGCCTTTGAACATGGCACCGCGTGGGTTCCCAGGCTTTGAAGGCCGAGCTGGAAAGAAAAGGAAGCGTGGTGGATTTTGGGAGGTGGGAATGCTCCAAGTGGCTGCTGGGGATGGAGATGGAGAGCGGGGCGTGGAGGTCTCGGTGCGAGGAATCCGTCTGGTGGATGTAGGACTTCTCTTTCGGTGGGATTGGCATCGGCTGGAGCTGAGAGAAGTCCATGAGAGGGAAGCTCTTGTAGTAGCTACGAGATGCAGTTTGAGCTGAAATGAAGACATCAGAATCAGAAACAGGTTTTGTTGGGAAAATACTGAATGTACTCTTTTCTATATCAGAGTAGCACATGATAACAAGTGCCTAACGGTAACTAAGTAACCGGATGTACGATAGAAGGAGCTCATGAGACACTGTTTTGAACATAGCTATGTTCCTACGATTAACATGATGATTCAGCCCCTATGGAGATAGGCATATGACTGTCATGTTTATCGCTTACGCAGGCCTTAGCTAATCTGAAGTAAACATTGAATACTGCTTTCTATTCCTCCATCTTGTGACTGTGTAACTCCCTCTCTTGGATATCAGCATGTGAAGGACACTGTTCAGGAACTAGTTGATGCTCTGTATGTGATGACTACTTCCATTCTGGAGAGGATCACAGATACATGGATCCTGAGATTGAAGATCAAGCCGGGGACCAGTGAGACCGCAAGAAACGTAGTCAGTACTTTGTCGTGAATGAATGTGACGTCATTAAAGCGACTCTAAAACCCTTGAAATTATACTAATTAATACCTTCTTACCTCACCCTATTAGATGTGATGTGGAAATGAAAGTACCAAATTAATTGGGATGGGATTTAACCCAAAGGAGCTAACCAAATGAACCGGTCGAGACAACACTGTCAACAGTTGGCGAATCTCTACGGCGTTTGTCTATCGGATAGGTAGTGCCTAATGTTACACCTACTTTCTCTTGGGCTGCTAGTGTAGTAGTCTCTGGTCAAGATAGTTCGCTTATAGAACGTGCACTCCATCTTCACGAGTCTAACACTCCTTTGGGGTGCTCGAGTGTGCATATGTTGTAACTCCAATATCAGGTACGCTTATCGACGTAACTTGTAAGGGGTATCGTACTTATAGAACTTCACGAAACTGTTTTTTTAGGTACGTCTTTTTATATTAGACACCTTACGCAATATAGACAGCTCGATCGCGACATTTTTCGCGTGGTTAGTTAGACTCGGCGGGCCGTATCCTTTCATTGACCTACCGGATGGACGGACAGTCGGGAATGGTAGACACGTGTTTGAATAGAGGCACTGGGAGTATACCAGTACACGTACAAGTACACACAACCTCCTCCCGAGACATTCCTTCACCGTCTAAAAGCAGGCCGACACATAAAAATCTTAAGAATTCGTGTAGCTCGACCAATGAGGGTTTTAATGTATGGGAACTTGATTAATTTCATTCTATTTTTTATAGGTCTTGATGTTTTTCTTGTGTTGACATATTATTTTTTTACTTAGACATTGTATGATTATTACGAGACATGACCACAATGAAAAGAGTGGGTAGTACAGGTAAAGGTATAATATAAGGTAAGGTAAAGATACATTTATGACAATATAAAACGATATATATATAAAGATTAATAAAATTTATAAAAAGATCAAGAGATAGACACAAAAATTACAAACAAAATGAAAATACATACGTGGTGCTGTAGTTCAGTTTAAGGAACATGCACAGTTGGATGGATTTGGAAAANAGGGGGCCGCGTCAAACGCGAGAGTTCAATTTTTTCAACTCGAGCGTCAAATTCACGTGACGCGTTCTCGCGGAAGCCAATCAGAGGTGAGGATCTCAGGCTGAGATCCTCACCTCTGATTGGCTTCCGCGAGAACGCGTCACGTGAATTTGACGCTCGAGTTGAAAAAATTGAACTCTCGCGTTTGACGCGGCCCCCTTCAATCGCGTGATTCGCGCCGCGTCCACCGCTTCATGCGTGCCGTCGGAGCGAATTCGTGTCTGATCGTGTCTCTGCATTGACTTTACATGTAATCGCGCCGCCCCCAAACGTTGCATCGCATCCGGTGTGAACGCAGCATAAGGGTCACCTTAATGTGTCACAAAGGAATATCCTTTAAATGTATTATTTTATTATTATCGAACAAATAGAAGGCAGCACTTCAAAGATGTAAAATATGAATACTGAGCAGACCAGTGTTTTTTTTTCTTTTTTTCCGGTCGACGATAAATTCCAAATGTGATCTTACTGCCAACCAATAGGCACACACTTTTTCTCTAATTAATTTTCTGATGGAGTTTGAACCACACTTCGCTATGGTACAAAGGTTAAGTGAAGTTATGGATAATCCATCGTAGACTTTATTATTGTGCAGTAATGCAATGCTGAAGTTTACGATCAATTTGCACTTAAAACTGCATTAGAATGCCACAAAGTGAAAAATGACAGCAGTGAAAGCTGTTACATTTACCAGATTAGCTAACACAGGCAAGGATGGAACCTGAAAGAAATGTGAAGCTATAGCGCGGTGCAGAGTCCTACAATGCGGGAATCAGTTAGCATTGTAGCACTTCTGGTTCCCTCGTCTTGGAGTTTTTTGAATATGTTTTTGGTAAATGCCTGAAATAAGGTCTGTGACCAACACTTGCTAAAGAGATGTTCACATTATGTTCTACAACATAAAATATGTCAGTAAATAGCCCACTTGTGACGGTAGCTTCTATTTTAGCAACCGCTGTTCATAATAACAGCGGTTGCTAAACTGCTAAACGTCATTAAGCCAAACATTAGCCGCCTTTAGCTTAGCGGTGGTGGTGTTAAGTCATGTGACTGTGTTGTAGTTTATTTATATCCTAACGTTAGCTTTTTACTTCTGCCGATTGCGTTGGCGCTTCAAAAATCATAAAGTGGTGTTAATATCTTCAGGGCCTCAGATCTTATTTTCTGCAATATTCCAAAATCCAATGTAAAAATCCAATTTACTTACGTTGTCCCTGGACTACTCTATACATTCATGGTTGCCATAGTGAAGGTGTGGTAGGTGATGTAGAACCCCTGGTTTACACAGTATCTCTATGACTTCATATAACTCACGTCCACTAACTTGTGACTGCTACTCTGAACAGGCAATTGAACAGTTATATTAGCATGAATCTTCATAGAAGTGTCCAGCTTCCATACGTCTTTGAACGCAGCTTTTATCTTGGCACAGTTATTTATTTAAACCATGAGCAGTGGTTTTCAGGGAAGACATTTCCTTTAACTATTTTGGAATGAAATGCTTTCTTTAATCACAACACATAGTGGCAGACTAAAGGAAGTACTTATGTAATCCAATCTGTTTACAGAATCGGGGCCACTTACATCTCAGATTGTGATTTTTGAGGTTTTCTTAAACCTCTGTAGAACAGACTAAGCACTTATCTACCTGGATATTTCAGCATACCTCTTTTTATGGGTACGGACTGTATGATAGTCGTGTGGACAGTTTCTGTGGCGTTGTTTCTAACTTTTTACAGTGGTTACTTCATTGTATTTATAGATTTTTGGTGAGCCATTTTTTACGTGTTCTTATTTTTACCTGTACCTACAACATGACTGTTATTTGCAGATTGAGCATTTTTCATTTCCTTTTTTATCTTTGAATGTTCAAAATGAGTTGGGTTTTGTTTAGATTTATTTGTAAATATTGTGCAACATGTCATGTTTTGTTAATTTGATATGAAAAGGGTTTTAAAGAGAAAAAACAGCATTTTGTCTAGGCATTTTTTCTTGAGAAATAAAACAAAAAGCATGAGAATTCTCCGGTGTTGTGTTCATTGTCTGCTCACACAGTGACCGCTTTTTTGTTAAGAAGCATTTAATGTGAATACTGTCCATCATCATCTCTCATGAAATGACTGTATATAAATGACTATACACAGATACACATGACTCTAATCAAGTGTTAGAAAAAGTATTTAAAGATCATAACGTCCATGTTACACAAGTTAGTAGATCCTCTGAGGAGTTTGCTCCATGATCATCCATTAAGATGTCCACATTAGAAAACATTATAAATAAACACAATCTTTTCCTTTTACTACCAACAAGTAGACTTTCTAAGGTGCTTCGATTCCAAATCTGGTGTTCCTACGGCGCTGAGTCCGCTGTCCCATCATGGCTGACTCCACTGGCTTTGTCCCCATCATGACTCCATGCTGCCGGCTGGACCACTGATAAAGTTTGCGGAACACAGCTGCGACGCCATGATGTGAGGCTCCACGCTTCACTTCTTCATGATAGAGGAGATATCCAGAAACATGCTCTGAAAGGACAAGAGGACAGGGTCAGACTGGAGCAGCAGGACGTAGAACACAGGGTGTAGCTGGGGATGGTGGAGTGTTTGAACAGATCAACAGAACATGAATGTTTCGTTAACATATGAACACAGTTAGACAATAGAACATTACGTTCAACTGAATTGTTCTAATTAATTTGTTTTCTCTACCGTAAAATACATGTAGATATGTTGTGTCACATTCACATTCATTTTATTTGTGCATGTATTTAATCACCTCTTATAATTGATATCATTGTTTATCTATGTGATGTAGCAATACTTATTTTATTTCTGATTCCTGATGTCTGTAACTACTGGGCTTCATCCAAAGCACCTCTACCCTCTTCTGCTCTCTCTAAACACTTTCTCCTTTAACCTATGACTGTTTATGTGTATTTGTCTCGCCCCAGATGTGTTGGCTCAACCTCATCACTCTACCAGTGAGTAATCTTCCTGCTCATTTTTCTCCCCTTTGTTTCTTTGATTATACGATATCAGCTGGTAGGGCTGCACAAATAACTAACTTCAGTTAGTCTGACCGATATTGCAATTGCGATATGATTCACGATATTCAGTATTCTTTAATCCTAGTTCTAAATATCATTGAAAAATATATACAATTATTATGGTGTTTCTTTTTTAGAGGATCTATACTAAACAAATCTTTTTCTGTCGGATACAATTTATAGGCTGGGGTCTGTCTTCAGCTTCACAATACTCCATTCAAAATGATATTTTAACACATATTTACCCTTTAACAAATATTGTGTTTCCTGCAACTTCAATATTCCACTAGACCATATTGCAATTTTGATACAATTTGAATAACTGTGCAGCCCTATCAGCTGGTAACAACTGTTATACTCAGCACAGAAATGGTGGATAAAACCCGAAGCCAGAAGCCCTCTGCTCTGTAGAACTTCTCTTCTGATGTTTTGGACTACTGTTAAATGAGACACGAGAAACTCTGCTCTTTACTTGCCATTGACATCCTCCGGCCTCCGGCAGGCGGCATCATGGGCATGTCCCCCTGCAGGGAGCCCAGCTCATCGGACTCCTCTGAGGAATGTAAGGACTGGCTGGTGGAGCCACTGATGGAGGACAGGCTCTCGGACGGAGGCCTGATCATGAAGCTGGTCTTCCTCGGGTTGTGGATCAGCCCCTCGCTTGCCATAGACTCCCTTCGATTGTCCCCGTCCAGGTCTCTGATGGCGCTGGGCCTAAAGGTGCTAGAGGACAGCAGAGCCTCCAGGTGTCTGGGGTGAGTCTGTTCTCCCTGACAAGGGTCCCCGAGGAGGCCTGTTACACTCCCCTCCACCATGGTTCCAGCAGAAGCCCAGGCTGGATTGTGATCCACCATAGCCATGTGGACCTCTTTACCCTCATGGGTTTGAGGGGCTGCACAGTTCTGGCCAGACCTTGGTGGCATCCTGGGTTGGGGACAGATATAGTTGGTCTGAGTGTGTCCCACATAGGCCAGGCTGTTGTGTCTCGTGGTGTCGTGGTTGGCTTTGAGCCCACTGTTGTAGTAAGGAGGCTTCATGTCGGCCTCTGGAATCACTTTGAAGGTCTGAGTCAGGGGCCCGTTGTGAGGCGACGCATTACTCGTCACACACAGGTGCGGTAAAGACGCCTTCTTCTTGGACCTGTAAATAAAACTGTCCTCCTCCGTGTACCTCTCTCCAAACAGTGTCTGTTTGATTTTCCTGATGCCCAGGTGGGATATTTCCAGAAGGTTGAGGAAAAGTGACACACCAGCAATGGCGATCATGAAGACCATGAAGATGGTCTTCTCCGTGGGCCTGGAGATGTAACAGTCCACGCTGTTAGGGCACGGCAGCCTCTCGCACCTATAGAGGGGCTCCAGTTGGACACCATAGAGTACATACTGGCCCAGGATGAAGCACACCTCCACCATAGAGCGTGTTAGGATATGGATGATGTAGGTTCTCAGCAGAGAGCCTCTGAGAGGAGCCTTCTTCACCCTCTTCTGCTCGTCCAGCTTCCTCAGCTCCCTCTCCAGACGCCTATGTTCCTCCGAATCCAGCTCAAACTCTTCCAGGTCCTCCTTCAGCTGGGCCTTCCTGCGGTGCCGCTCCTTCTCAAGCGATCGGATGCAGTAGAGGGCATGGCCCATGTAGACCAGCGAGGGCGCAGAGACAAAGATGACCTGCAGGACCCAGAATCGGATGAGGGAGATGGGGAAGGCCCGGTCGTAGCAGACCGCCTTGCAGCCCGGCTGGTCCGTGTTGCAGACAAACTCGGACTGCTCGTCGTCCCAAACGTCCTCGGCAGCAGCCCCCAGGATCAGCATGCGGAAGATGAAGAGGATGGTGAGCCAGATCTTGCCCACGATGGTGGAATGAATGTGGACCTCTTCTAGGATGCTGCCCAGCAGGTTCCAGTCACCCATGGTCAGCTTCTCACCTCTTCACTGCCACATGTCCTCAAACTGTGGAGACAATACCAGAACACATCAGCCTCACAAAGCAGAGCTACTTACAAGGCTGAGGGGAAATTCGAGAGAAAAAGACGGGTTACAAGTTTTATTTTTGTGTCTTGGGCCATCAGCTCTCTCATGGTATTGATAAAGGTGTGCTGCTAAAAGGATTACTGAAATCTTGGGACATAGCAACCTCTCCTAAAACAAATCCAATGGGGCAGGAAACAGAAGCAGTCAGATAATCGGACATGTAAAAAGGTGACAGTTTATCCCAATTTCCTTTGGCTTCCTTTAGATGTAAAACTGTGTATGCACGACTACTGTTCCTAAAGTTCATTGGATCCAACTCAAAAAAGGACGACTGAAAGAACTCACAAATACATTGTTTATTTTTAAATGCTAAGTAAATCAAAAACCAGTTGTTTATTGTGAATGAAACATTAGGAATTGTTAGTTTGAATGTGCACATGGGATTTGTTGACAATAAAAAAAATTGTCATATCAACAGAATCAAAACTTTTACACTGAGAATATATTGAGATACATACTGGACCAGTGTTTAGAAGATGATGTAGCTCCCCTTGAAACTTCCAAACATCACAACAGCAGCTCCAATGAGAGAGCAAGTGGAGTGTACGTCCAATCCGCTGAAGCCGGGCTCATGCTGATCTCTGACTGAAGGAGATAACTGTCAATCATGTGTCGCACAGCCTACGCAAAAAAGAGCCCCAGACCAAAGAGAAGCAGAAAGTCAATGGCCTGGCACTGTGACTCTATGTGTTATGTATGAACTGCCTGTGACAACTATATCCTATGAACAATGTTATGGAATAAAACACCATGTAAACAAATATCACTCTTAACGGAAATGGAGACTTTGAAGCGTCAAAAGATAGCGTTTGCTGAGAATTAGTGGTTACATATTTAAGTTTTATTTGAAATAATCAAGCAAAGGTTTGATTTGCATTTAGGGTTTACATTAGACTCCAGTTTGTAGAACTGCAACGTTTGTTTCAACATTCAAATGGAACATTACTTCATGTCTCCAAAGATTGTCTTATTGAGATTAGGTGTGTTTGAAACTTCAACCACCATGGTTTAACATAGGATCAAGACGTTTGAGAAATTCATTAGAGTAGTCATACTCATGTGAAGTATGTCCTTGCAATTACCAGTGTCCAATTTCTATGCATTATGTCTGCAACACATGAGGATATAAACATTTTACACAGCTTAAAATGTAACTGCAGCCCTAAAAATAACTTACACGTCAGATGTCATGGTGGATTGACCCTTCAATGAGTGTGCAAATGAAATGCACCGTGCTTAGTGCGGTTTTCTGTCAGGTCAATAATCCAGTACCATCAATAACATTAATACTCAAAATAATGTACAGGTGCCAATTTGGGCCATCTCAGAAACTGTTTACATGATGTTTACTGACCAATGTCTTGCATTACTTTACATCAAACGACTCTATTAATTAATTGACTTCAGCATCACTTACATATCAGTGGTTTGGGTTCCCTCTCGGCCTCCTGGTGCACGTCGTCATGTTTATAATAGCATCCCAGGAATTGCGTGTGTCAGTATGGCTACCCCATGGAGGTGTTTGGTGTTCCTCTTGTCGCGGTCCCAGACTCCAGTCCACATCCCTCTGCCCTGCTGGTCTTTGTCTCCTGCGTATGCTGGCTGGGTGCTGCGAGCCCTCTCCCGTGTTACATGCAGGGTTCACAGGATGTGACCATTGATCGGCTTCTGACGGGACAATGTCCCCTACCCCCCTCCGCTCTCCCACGCCAGCAGTGCCAACTCCAACCAGTACCATCAATATCCTCTCTGACAGAGAGATGTTTATGGCTGGTGTTCCTCAAAGGGCCTGCACTCCACATACAAATGAAACTGAGTCAACCGGTGTGTCTTTATAATGGATCAGATCCTTCCGGCTACTCTGCACACAGTTCTAAATGTAGATGTGCATATACATGCTATATGACTGCCTGGCCTCCATGCTATGTTGATTTAATCCAACAAAGTATGTGTAGGGACATTGTGAAAGTGTTCATGTGATAACAAAATGTATGTATGTAAGTCACTTTGGATCAAATTGTTAGCCAAATGCCATGTAATATAACGTAATGAAATAATTACCAGACATGTACTGAAGACTAAGATGTCTTTTTATATGGAACAATTAGACACAGAACAATTCCTCTGCTTCTCTTTCCGGAGTGTACCAGAACAACTAAATACCTGGAGGTAACCTGGACCACCTGTAGTGTTTTGGACCCCTTAAAGTAGACATGAATGGTGACATTCGTTCAGAACCTTTCAGCACCGCCTACTATCCAGTCTCTAATTTACCTGGATTCTGCCACTAAAATAGAATAGAATGGGAAGGATGAAACCCTCTTTAATGGTCACCCATGCAGAGCACACAGCACACACAGTGACATGTGGCCTCTGCTTTTAACCCATCCTAGTACCAGGAGTCTAGTACTAGGAGCAGTGGCTAAAGCTGTGCTCTGCCAGAATGGAAATGTTAATCAGAACATGTGTTGTGCTCCTCAGAGGGGGGGCTGCGCCTTCTCGTGGTTCTTCTCATGGTTTTCCCCTTGGGACTGCTCCACATGAAAACAATCAGAAAAAATAAACCTACGTCCCTCCACATAAACTGTCTGGAGGCCTTTACTAGGTTGAGGAATTATATCAGTAGAGCTGTAAGAGTTGTTTAGCTTAATAACTATAACTATTTCTAAGAGGTTTTTACATGCAAATCTCCCTTAATACAACATTTTAAAAACGTTTTTATTTGTTTCAATTATTATATTGAATTATGGTCCGATAACCAAAACAAAAGATTTTCTGAAATATAATGTTGAAATATTTAACATGTCTTTACTTACGGTTTTAGTATTAAATACCAGCCATAGCAGGTTTCAATCCAATGTTAAATCACATAGTCCTTTGATCCTGTGTCAATAGAAACTAATGATAGAGTGCAGAATCAAAATAGAGACAAATCACTTTTTTTTTTTTATTCTAGTATTACACTTCCCAAACAAAGCCAAACTATAGGTCCCTAATGCTGCATTTAATGAAGGACTATTATTTGTAACTTTTCACTCAAAGCGGAAGATTTATTCTGCAATCTCCACGCTTTGCAATGTACAGTATATCAATTATATTGACTTTTCCACAGCATATGAATGATCTCAGTATACAAGAATGCAGTTGTGTATGCTAAAATGACAATGATGAAATACCATGTTGTCTGCAGCATATTGAATGCTGGCACTATGCTGGTCAGGGAGGCCCACAGACCCCCCCTTCCCCTCAGTGCACAGAGTAAAGCAATGGTACATATTACTGGCTTGATTTGAGAGCGCTGTGCTTGGCTGCATAAAATGACCAGTTGTGCCTGCAGGGCCTTTAATTAGGTTTCCATCGCGCTCTGACAGTCAATGCAGCATTGATTTGATTTTTCCCCTCAGAAGCTGCGGCTGTGGTCGCTGAGGCCAAATGTCACCCCAGGATCATTGGATTACACAACCAGCCTCCGCTCCATCAGGACCCGCCCACACGCCTGACTGACAGCTGAGCGGCGAGGGCGGGACTTTGTCCTGTTTGTTGACAGACATCACAACTCATCCACAAGTTTGTCTTGAATTAGTGATCGCAATAGAATACTCCAGGAATGAGTCCTTAACCAGGAAATGAGTTAGCATTTTAGCACCTTTACCTTTCAATGTTTTTTAAATTATTTTTTGGTTCGATTCTGAAAATAGGGACTGCAGATAACACAAACTTACAGATTTTCAAGTTTTGTTCTACAACATAATTTAATAAATACCCTACTGGTGAAGATTTACATGTAAAGATGGTTGCTAACAAGTGGTTGAAAGAGAATGTATACCTACTGTAATCAAGCCGGAAATTAGCCGCCTTTAGCTTAGCGTAAGTGAAGCGCAGCCATGCTAGTTGGTGTATAGCCTAAAGTTAGCTATTTACTTCTGGCCATTGCATTTAAAACTTATAAGTATAATACACATCTTATTTTTTGCAATATTCTGAAACCCAATGGAAAAATCCCATTGGTTCTTGTTGAGGGAGCTGACCTTGGGGTCGACCTACAAACATATAGTACATCATCACTGCAGCATTCCATGTACCTAGCAAGTAACAGTGTAATGTCACTATGAATATTTAGTATTTAATGGTACCTCATACTTTAATTATACTCATTCAGAGGGGAAATGTACTTTTTACTTCAAGAGAAATTTAGATTTTATGTACCAAACTAATGCTACGCTTTGTTGTTGTACATTAAATTCCCTCCTTAATGGAATTACTGTGTGTGACAACAAACCTTGATCCAACAATCTTTATTTACGTATAATGCAAAGGAATTTTACATTATTTAGACAGTTTAAAGATACAGGAAGCATGAAAACAGAGAACGGTGGAGCAATGACAACACATGGACCGAAACAAAAGGTAAGACGTATCCACATAATAATAAATAATGTTTGAAGCACATTTCACAGATAAAAGTTATTTAGCTGTTTCAATAAAAGGTAATATTACGGCCAGTATATATACGGAGCATAACGTTAGCTTAGCCTGATCGATCCGATCTCCATTCAGAAAACACGCATTTTAAAAGGTTTTCGCCTGCCGTCTTTTCTGCAGACTTGTCAAAGCATTAATTCATGGTTTTTACTAACCGGTATCAGTATGTTGTTACTTCGGCATCATTTAGAAACGTGTATTACAATTAAATCACGGTCAAATATGTTCATCTTGTTGTAGTTGTAGCCCCCTTGCCAGCGATTCTCTAACTAGTTTAGCATACTCAGCCCGGTTGTTGGCCCGGAAAGAACCTGGATTTTGGAGAGTCAAAAGAACTGTGAAACAGTACCCGTTAGCCGTTTAGAGCGATGCGATAAGAGCGAAGCAAATATTCGCATCGGTATAATGTGGCCTTTTTTTGTATTCCAAATGAATAATGGAAACATGACTGAATGGAATGTATCATCATCATGTACATCTGGATAAACTATGAAATAACATACAATCTTGTTCTTAAAGAGCCTCAGACTAAATTGTGCATATAGTTGTATGTTCTGTTCATGTGTGGTCTCCAACCTTATGCAACTTGCAGTGAAGTATTATGATAAAGAACTATAGGGGTAAACAAACTTGACTAAACTATACATAAATATGAAAAACATTACATCTGCCATCCAGCTAGCAGTGAAACTCAAAGTCTTACTAAAACACATTCATGAGTGAGCTTGACTCAAAAGCATGGATGGCAATTGGACAGTGAGTCAAAAGCCTCCTTTTGTACTTTTATCAGTTAGTTGTGCTATTTACTTATTATTTACATCAACCTTATACATTATGTATTTTCTATTTTCTATTTTTCCTGTTGAAGTTGTAGCTGGGTTTTTCTATGTTCAACCAAAGTACAGCAGTTCATCCAATCATCCATTGGTCAGTATCAGCTCTGCGTTCTCGTTGGTCTTCAGCCTCTCTAGCTCCTCCTCCAGGGCGTTTATTCTCTGCAGCAGCTCCCTCTTGTCCTGCCGAGCTGAGAGCTCCGTCTGCTGCTCCACCTGCGCCACCTTCCTCTCGTACCAGCGCTCCAACTGAACCGACACCGTCTCAAAGAACCGCTGAGTCACCTGACAGGAACACAACAACACGCTTAAAGTGGTTCTAGGTTCAGGATCAGGGTGAATTCTGAATTGTTTTGCTCAGGTGACTTCGAAAAACGTAGATAGTTTGTCATTTTGGGAAATAGTAATATATATTTTTTCTGAGAATGCTATGAAAATACTTATATCAGTTAAATGACCTAGCTTCGCACATCCCCCGCCCTGCTTGGGCCTTCTTGACTATTGTCCTTTTCCCAAATCACCCACTCTTTGTTCAGCAAAGTGCAGAGCTGTGCTGTTTTTCAATTTGTGTACTTCTCTACTTATATTTGCTTTTTTTGTTTGCAAAAGTGTGCCCCAATTTGAAGAAATGCAAAATGCAGTGCACTATGGTTACCTGGATTGTCAAAACATGGATTCTGAAACACTGGGCAATTCTCGGCTTTGTAACGGAAGTTGCGCGTCCAGCCAAGATTCCTCAGGTAAACAAAGCACGATATTAAAAAAAGGTATACATTTGTTTGTTTTTTAGTGTTTATTAAAGGTCTCCTATTATACTATTTTTAGGCATATATTATAGGTCTCCGATATATAAATAATGTCTATGAATAGTTTTGCTCAAAATACCAAACAGATGACCCATTGTAGCCTCATAACCAGGGGTGCACATAACTTTTTTGCCCTGGTTCTCAAAGGAGCACCTGGAGATGTTGCTTGGTGCTCATCCTTAAAATGAAATAAACCGTAACTTTTGAGGGGTCTTGACTTTATTTGCCAGACACACGGCACTGAACACACATGCAGAGGTGAACACAGAACACACATGCAGAGGTGAACACAGAACACACATGCAGAGGTGAACACAGAACACACATGCAGAGGTGAACACAGAACACACATGCAGAGGTGAACACAAGAAAACATTAGCACGACCAGTAATCCTACAAGCTGTCATCACTACCCTCCTGACTGTTCTCCTCACTGTTCTCCTCACTGTCTTCCTCTCTGCCAGACATGGTAGCTGATGATGTAGGCCTACTACTTTCTCTCTGGTTGAGTCTGCGATTAGCTGCTTGCATCCACAAGTCAACAGCTGGTTTTGGGTCGAAAGTCTCTGTTGTCATCTTAGACAAGTGGATGTAATCAAATAAGTATGTGAACATAACCAATAACCTACCATAGCCAATAACAAATTAATGTAACTTATAATAATTATAAAGGAGTGCCTTGGAAATATGCGCATGCACACCTGCGCACCAGTTATGTGCAGCCCTGCTCATAACCCTCTATTTCAGCCCTGATAGAGAAGTGCTGATTCTGGGTCTGGCCCTTTAAATGTTTCCGAGCTGTTGCTGGCCACGCCCCTTTGGAGCATGCATGATAGTGATGGGAATTATGGCTCTTCAAAGGGAGCCGGATCTTATGGCTCCGTTCCTTTCAAAGAGCCTTTTCAAAGAGCCGTTTCGTTCGTTTCTGTTCGCGGCGAGCGAAAACACAAGGTGACCCAACTAAAGGCCCGTAGGTCAACATAGACCCGCATCAACGGCCCATTTACGGAGCTTTGGTAAATTTTTTTTTTTTTTGCTTTAAATTGCGACACCACAAACCCACCACCAGGAAACCCCATTAGTTGAGTTTACGATAGTAACATTGAGTTTAAGACTTTCTTTCTTGAGCAAAATATTAAAAGCGGTTAATACAGTAGTGGTAGTGACTGCACTCGTAGTACTTGCTTGATACGATTAGTGATGAAGGCGGGAACGAACGGTAACAATATTGTGTACGTATTTTGGAACTGTCGCCAGCCCTTCAACAGTACTTTTTTTTTCAGACGACTATTATTTCGGGTGCGGTAAATCTCCCTTCTACTACTAACCAGTTAACATGACGGTACAACTTGTAATGAGAGAGCAAACTTCAATGATATCGGAACCCGGGGAGACAAAAAAAGATTAACTAATCGAACCTGGTGGTAAAGTCGAGGAACAAGAAGTGTCACTGAGTGTCTCTACCGATTTACGTCGGAAAAGAAAGTAGAATTGGGAAGTGTAAAGTTTTGGTCTTTGCCTTATCCGCTAAGCTTCCTAAATAAGATAAACCTTTACAATAAAATTTATGTTAATTTAGTTCAATAAAACCAATTTGATTACTTTTTATAATTTTTTCTTCCTGTTATTAAATTTTTATAGTATATGTACACAGAAAAATAAAAAAATCTTATTGAATCGCGGGAGTCTCTCCCGGATCTCCCGGGACTGCCCAGCGGTGATATGGCCAACCTAAATAACGACACAACTACCCTTACTAAATAATACAGAGGGGGGGAGGACCGTGGTCGTACTGTGCTCTTGTGGTGGGACAAGGGAGAAACGGGAACGGTCGTTCGGTCGAAGGCCCGAGGACGACCGGAGACCTCTGGGGGACCACCGTCGACGGCCCCCCCCGTCCGCAGGTATAGTGTCGTCAGCCAACGGGTCTAACAAACCCCCCCGAAGAAAGTCGTCGTGGTCGTCAGGTTCGGTCGGTGGGGCACGGGGAGGGGACTGGTCGTAGTCCTGGTTCAGATGTTTGTTGTGTGAAACGTCCTCCACACACACGTCCTCCTCCCGACCCCAGGGGTGTACCTCTCGGTGGTGGTGGGACCTAAGAAGAAAGCTGGGCCGGAGGACCTCGCGGGTGGACAGTGAGTCCTCTCCTTGTCAGTCGGACGGCTACCCCCAAAACTCACCTCTTCTTGAACAGGGGGCTAATCGTTCGTGCCTCGTCCAAATCTAACCTGGACAGTTAATTTCGTGTGCGATTTGGACTGAACAGCGTAATCGAAACGTCCGGCTGTACATTTTTCTATACTTTTATGTCTTACAGGAAAAATAAAGTTAGGAAATGTTTGGTGCCGCTGTGTTGCGAAAGTTGGAGGACATGTAAGTGTGTGACGTGTTAAGTAGCGAACGAAAATGATATTATTTGGGTGTGAGTTCGAGACCCCTCTCTGGTGAAGAATAAGTTTCAACACGTCTGTCACATCCTTTTCAATTTGTTACACAAGAAGTAAAAGATAACTTCGTAAGAATACGCCTGTCGACGCCCCGGATCATTGGGAATGTTTATTACACCAAGAAAGTCTTGTGGCTCATTTCACCAGGAAATTCCACGGGGAATAAAGTACGTTGTTCAACGTGAAAACAACTACCGAAAATAAGTATTTTAATACCACAGGGCCCCACAATTCCTCTGAGTGTTCACCAGTCTTTTATTTTGGGAGAGCAGAAAAGGAGGAATGGGTGTAGAGATTTTTGCGCCTTGTTGCGCTAGACTAGGTTTTAAAACCGACCGCAGTACTGCTGTATAGTTTAACCCGAACACGAATTTCGGTTGCCGGGATAAGTCTTTGTAGCGACATAGTCCTTTGTTACGCGTTGTACCAAACTTCATAATACCAGACACAAATGTAATCGTTCGTAGCGATTGTGAGTCCTGTTGCGATCCTCTAAACATTTCTTCGTCTTTATAATTTTTGCCAATGATGGAATTCCTATTTGGGTGCTCTCTCGTTTCTCAAACTCGGGATGTAATGACAAAAGTCTTTATTAGACTACCAAACCAAACCTTGTATTATACCGCCAAATTAGTGTAGTTGGTTAAAACGACTCTTAGACACCAATCTTTTGGAGAGAGAAGTGTCTCCCTCTCCGGTCGCTAATCACCTAACAGCCAGCGCTTGCTTCGGCTAAGAAAACTTGCTAACTTGAAACAAATAGCCAAGTTAGCAACAAAGACGTGAGTGACGGACGGTTTAGGGTGAGCGGAAAAATTTTCGAACTAAAACAGGGGTTTAAATCATAAGACACTTCTGGCGGGGGATGAGACTAACCACTCAAAGTTCCGTGCTCCTCACTTTTCTACCACTTAGTTTCTTATTCAGTCTCTCTCTTCAGTATTGTTACCATCGTCCTGTCATTGTTTGCATTAAAAGCCAACCTTTTTACTGGTTTGCGCTTTTGCGTCGTCGTAAACCTTACGTGAAGTTGGTTTTGGTTCGTTCGTGCGTGGAAACATTTCGACCTCATACCACACGCACCACCAGCCCCCACCTACACCACCCACGAGCTACCGCCCTTACACACGAACATTAGCGGTAGATTTTTGTGTCACGTTATATTCTCACGGCACTTAGTAAGGTCGTTCTTGCAATAATGAATAATTGTAGTGACTCTTACTAATGATAATAGGGTAACACAGTACAAAATGTTGCTACAAATGACTCCGCGCGGGTAGGGTTGGCGGGGGATGCGGGGGAGCGGGATGAGCAGGGAATGTGGCGAAATGGGGAGGCAAACACGCAAGTGTGCCTCCAGGCGGTATATCCGAAAGGTTTCGTTGCCTCACAACCCTCGCCACACCTCCCCCTCACCCGATAAGTTTCGGGAGTTTGTCGCTCAGGACGTCGATAACGAACTGAACTCTGGCCAGAGATGGAACTGCCTCAGTGCGACCACAAGACAGGCAAGCCTTTGTCGACAAATGTTCAATCAAGGTCGTTTGTAGGTGACTGTTTGACGCTACTATTTGTTGGGTACTATGGACGCTACAAAATTGAATCCTAAGTATGGACACAAAATCAGATCTTTTTTCCCATTTACACACGTAAATAATAATTTCAACCACATATTAAATGTCTGACAACGTTTTTTGAATTTCTTCCCCGAATATTTGATAGTCCAAATTTTTTAATTTTTTCTTCGAAAGTTTTTCATTGTGTTAACTTTCTAAAAACCTCAAAATAAACTCAATAAATTAAATGTAAAAAAACAAGATTTCTCTACGAACTAAACTTTGGCAAAACAATGGATGTTCAATGCCGTAAGGACAAAGACGCCTCCTCTCCCCTCACAACAGGGTTTCGAACGACGACATAAATGAGGGAGGTAGACTGTCCTCCTCGGAGCAACTCGGACGCTCACATTCGATGTCCTGCCTCCACAGTGAGGCGAGTGCCTCCCATCCAAGCTCCTTAAACAAAACCCTTT